CCATCCATCCATCCATCTATCCATCCATCCATCTATCCATCTATCCATCCATCTATCCATCCATCTATCCATCCATCTATTCATCCATCTATCCATCTATCTATCCATCTATCCATCCATCCATCCATCTATTCATCCATCTATCTATCCATCCATCTATCCATCTATCCATCTATCCATCCATCATATCCATCTATCTATCCATCCATCTATCCATCTATCCATCCATCCATCCATCTATTCATCCATCCATCTATCCATCTATCCATCCATCTCATCCATCTATCCATCTATCTATCCATCTATCCATCCATCCATCTATCCATCTATTCATCCATCTATCTATCCATCCATCTATCCATCCATCCATCCATCTATCTATCCATCTATCCATCCATCCATCTATCCATCTATCCATCCATCTATCTATCCATCTATCCATCCATCCATCTATCCATCTATCCATCCATCTATCCATCTATCTATCCATCTATCTATCCATCTATCCATCCATCCATCTATCCATCTATCCATCCATCTATCCATCTATCTATCCATCTATCCATCTATCTATCCATCTATCTATCCATCCATCCATCTATCCATCATCCATCTATCTATCCATCTATCCATCCATCCATCCATCTATCTCATCCATCTATCTATCCATCCATCTATCCATCCATCTATCCATCCATCCATCTATCCATCTATCCATCCATCTATCCATCCATCTATCCATCCATCCATCCATCTATCCATCTATCCATCCATCTATCCATCCATCTATCCATCTATCTATCCATCTATCCATCCATCCATCCATCCATCCATCCATCTATCCATCCATCCATCCATCCATCTATCCATCTATCCATCCATCATCCATCCATCCATCTATCCATCCATCTATCAATCCATCCATCTATCCATCTATCCATCCATCCATCCATCCATCTATCTCTCCAACCATCTATCCATCCATCTATCCATCCATCCATCTATCCATCTACTCATCTATCTATCTATCCATCCATCTATCCATCTATCCATCCATATATACATCTATCCATCCATCTGTCCATCCATCTATCTATCCATCCATCTATCCATCCATCTATCCATCCATCTATCCATCCATCCACCCATCCACCCACCTACCTACCTATCTATCTATCTTAGTGAAAGTAATTGAGATGTTCTTACGTTGTTGGAGGCGTCGGCAGGTCGTAGTTTTCTCCCGTCTCATTTGTCAACCAGTAGGTTATCTCCGTGCCTTTACCCTAAAAATAACCAAACATTTACAACATTTTACGTCAGTGTGTGACAGGGAACTCTGCATTATGTCTGCTTTCAAAAAGGTTCATATCCTTTATTTATATCAAGGTACCACTACATTTCATGTCATAATACTCCAAGTCAAAGACCTGCATTCAAATTCCCAGAGTAAAAGTACACATGTATTATCATCCATTTGTACTCAAAGTATGAAAATAAAAGTACGATCCTGCAGGAATATGACCTCCATTTGTGGTAAATTATTATGATTATATATGACATTATTAGATTGTTTGATTGGTGCGTTGAGTAGCACCTTACTGTCGCACAAAAACAAAGCTATGATAATAAAAAATATACGTTCAACTTTTTTGTGTTATATAGGATCATTTGACCTCTTTGTACCGAAAACAGTTATTTTGCTGGTTTGATCAATGGTAATGCTTTACTAAAAACTACAATAAGTATTGGAGAAGAAGTATTAAAAAGCATTACATTAAAATACTTAAGTAAAGTACATTTAACTCAAAATTATCCTCAACAGTGCTTGAGTTAATCTGCTTCTGTCTGACCGGCTTTTATGTGAATAATTGAACTCAATAAAGAGGTCTATCTTCACCTTCAGATATGTCTCTCCTCTCATCTCGTACTCGAACCTGCAGTCGGTCCTCTGCAGGATGTTTACAGTGGGCTGGCTGACGTGGATCCGCAGCGCTGCAGGAAATTAAAAGATGAAACAACAGGCTTCTGTTCTTCAGGCTCTGGTTGGTTTATTGAATTAGATTGATCTGTGTGTTCTGTAAAGCCCGCGTCACACTGTCCCCAAATTGACACCAGATGGACACACGATAAAGGAAATGTTCGAATTCGGCTCTGATCGTAACAACATTGGGCCATTCGTGAGGGCATCCTAAGCCATAGTGTGACCGCCGGCTCCGGCAGCAACGTCGTGAGCGGTGGCAACATCTTTGGCATGCCAACAAATTGCCGAAAGACCTTGCGAAGGTTCATTTTCATGTTAAATTTGTGTGTCCATTTCACCCTTCGTAAGGCCATCGTGATGGCATCATGTCAAATCGTGTCATCTTCATCTTTACTTCGTGTGATCGTCGGTGCCATCGGGCATTTTTCGCCTCACGAAGACAATACGAAGAAAACAAGAAGCTGCCCGATTGCTGGATGCAACACGACTACGTGAAGCCCTCGCAATGCCGTCGTGTAGCCATCGTATTATAGTACAATTTGTGTTCTGTGAAACTGAAAAGGATATCACATTGTTTTTGTTACTTTCGTTGCAGTTGTATGTCTTAAATGTAATTTAGGTTAACTTCCTGTTTTATTTAGATGCTTTTATTTTTGAAGGCGAGTTTACGCTGTTGACAGGAAGTTGTTGTTGCTATGGAAACAACATGACGGAGTGTGTGGCCTTTGTAGGCATCGTACTTGCTTCGGCTGTTGCTTGGCTGTTGACCAAGTTCAGGGCCATCTTTGTGCGATATTCACAATTCCATATTCGTGTGTCCATCTGGTGTCAATTTCGGGACAGTGTGACGCAGGCTTTAAGGAGTTCTGAGTAATGAGTACTGATCAGTGTGTGAGTGATCTGTACTGTCTGCAGGTTCTTTATCGCTCTACTCACGATGTCCTGATGACTCCATACGAGACGCCGTGTTCACTGTGTCTCCAAATAAACAATATCTGGGCATCTTTATCCCAACAACCCCCGCTGCACACGGACCTGGACACACACAAAGACAGGATTATATCAATACCACTGATAGACATCTATCCATCATCTATCCATCCATCTATCTGT